ACGGGGACAGGAAGTAGGTAGTGCTGTGTGACAGAGAACCACGGGGACAGGAAGTAGTCAGTCCTGTGACAAGGAACCATAGGGACAGGAAGTAGGCAGTGCTGTGTGAAGAGAACCACGGGGACAGGAAGTAGGCAGTGTTGTGTGAGGGAACCATGGTGGCAGGAAGTAGGTAGTGCTGTGTGGCAGGGAACCACAGGGACAGGAAGTAGGCAGTGCTGTGTGAGGGAACCATGGTGGCAGGAAGTAGGTACTGCTGTGGGAACAGGAAGTAGGTAGTGTGTGAGGGAACCACGGGGACAGGAAGTAGGCAGTGCTGTGTGACAGAACCACAGGGACAGGAAGTAGACAGTGCTGTGTGACACAGAACCACAGGGACAGGAAGTAGGCAGTGCTGTGTGATGGAACCACGGGGACAGGAAGTAGGCAGTGCTGTGTGAGTGAACCATGGTGGCAGGAAGTAGGCAGTGCTGTGTGACAGAGAACCATGGGAACAGGAAGTAGGCAGTGCTGTGTGACAGAACCACAGGGACAGGAATTAGGCAGTGCTGTGTGACAGAACCACAGGGACAGGAAGTAGACAGTGCTGTGTGAGGGAACCATGGAACAGGAAGTAGGCAGTGCTGTGTGACAGAGAACCAAGGGGACGGGAAGTAGGCAGTGCTGTGTGAGGGAACCACAGGGACAGGAAGTAGGCAGTGCTGTGTGATGGAACCACAGGGACAGGAAGTAGGCAGTGCTGTGTGACAGAGAACCACAGGGACAGGAAGTAGGCAGTGCTGTGTGAGGGAACCACAGGGACAGGAAGTAGGCAGTGCTGTGTGACAGAGAACCAAGGGGACAGGAAGTAGGCAGTGCTGTGTGACGGAACCACGGTGACAGGAAGTACCGTGGTGATGTAGGGTTACTTCCTGGGGTGAAGAGAAGGGTCTGGAACTGGTGGAGGGGCAGACTGGGGGCCGAGTGTGGTCGCCCATTAGTAGAGCTGTCCGAGGATCGCTGGCCTGAGCGGAGGCTCCCTGCACGTAGCTGCTGTGACATTCTGTTGCACACCGTGCTCTGCACCTTGTGTTCCCATTAGCGGTGTCATCAGTGGTGTGGCCAGGGTCCCTGCAGTGTCCTGGGGTGACTAAGGCAGCCCAGCTCTGCATAGTGGAGGCCAGCGGGGCTATGACAGCCCCTCTCCCCAGCGACCCCACCTGTCTGCTCACTGGCACCCCCCTCCCCCACAGCTCTTCTGTGCCGACGGCGAGTACAACTCCATGGCGGCTGCCTTCTTCAACACCCCAGAGAGGAGTGTGGTCAGCCTCTTCCACGACCCTCCAGGTGGGTGATGTGGAGCCACAGCTCTGGCTGCCCTCTGCTTCCTGGGGTGCTGGAGCCTGGAGCCTCAGTGTGGAGCCCCTGCGCACAGGCAGATGGGGTGGGCGCCCCGGCCCTGCTCAGCCACCTCTCCCACAGGCTCCTACAACCCCATGACGCTCGGCCTCTTCACCCTCGTCTACTTCTTCCTGGCCTGCTGGACCTACGGGCTGACCGTGTCTGCCGGCGTCTTCATCCCCTCCTTGCTCATCGGGGCCGCCTGGGGCCGCCTCTTCGGCATCTCCCTGTCCTACCTCACGGGCGCTGCAGTGAGTGGGGGTGACGGGGACCCTCCCGACTGCCCTGGTGGTGGGGGGTGTGCCGTGAAGTCGGTTCCCTCTCCTGGTGTACTGGCAGGGAACGCCAACACAGGGCTGCTGATAGGCGTGGGCTGGGGTGGGGGATGGCGTGGATGGGTAGGGGGTGTGGTTGTGTGGCTGTGGGGGCTGTGTGAGAGCTGTAGGGACCGTTTCTGGACCGAGGTGGCTGCCATGCTGGTGGTAATACCCTGGGTGGTGGGTTGGGGAATGCCCACCCCTCGAACACCTTCCTGGCCCCTCCTTGCAGAACTGGGCAGACCCCGGCAAGTACGCCCTAATGGGAGCAGCTGCCCAGCTTGGTGAGTTCCAGTGGCTGGTCAGCAGGTGGGCCAGCACACAGTGGGGTGGGGGTGGGTCTACTGTGGGCAGCTCCCCTCCACACATTGTGCCTGGAGGGGACACTGGGTGTGGGGCCGTGGGATGGCCCCTCAGGTTCCCTGGCTCAGGTCGCCCCTTGCAGGTGGGATCGTGAGGATGACACTGAGTCTGACGGTCATCATGATGGAGGCCACCAGCAACGTCACCTACGGCTTCCCCATCATGCTGGTCCTCATGACAGCCAAGATCGTAGGGGACGTCTTCATCGAGGTGCGGCCTGGGCCCTGGTACCCTCACCCCGCCCCCCCCACACACACAGAGAACACTGTTGGGACACACACACACACTCACACACACGACACCGTCAGGGCACAAAAAACAGGCCCTGGACCCTATAGGCACCGCTGTTCTGGGAGCTGCAGTCTTGGTGCGGGGGCCTGTGGGTCCTCCCCATCAGTGAGTGGACACAGTGCCTGTCCCCCTCCCCCACAGGGCCTGTACGACATGCACATTCAGCTGCAGAGTGTCCCCTTCCTGCACTGGGAGGCCCCGGTCACCTCACACTCGCTCACAGCCAGGTACCTGCCCCACCCCCACCTCCGTGCTGTCGTGGTGTTTGTGGGGCTGCCATGGGTGCAGCCACGTCCCGGGGAGGCCGGGCCCCAGGTGTCCCTGTGCCCTCGGGGCATCGATGGCTCAGGTAGGAGGGGCTGTTGGTGGCCCTGGCAGGCAATGGTCTGGTGCTGCGGCTGACGTGTCTGCTCTGCCGGCAGGGAGGTCATGAGCACCCCGGTGACCTGCCTGAGGAGGATGGAGAAGGTTGGCATCATCGTGGACATCCTCAGCGACCCTACTTCCAACCACAATGGCTTCCCTGTGGTGGATGATGCTGGTGATGCCCAGGTACTAAAAAGTCCCCCCAAGGGTGGATGAGGTGGACCCAGAGTCCACCTGCTCTCCCACGTGAGCATGTGTCCTAGGTGGGTGGAGACAGCCTGCCTTAGTGCGCACGAGGGCCTTGGAGACCTCTTGTCAGGAGACACCCCCCACCTCCCCTGCTGGGGCCTCAGGGACCACCCACCCCAGGTGGTTCAGGAGTTGTCTAGGCTGGACCCGCATTCGGGAACTGAGGGAACCTTGGTAGAGGGCCAGAGCCAGGGGCGCACAGCAGACAGCGGCCTGCCCTCCAACCCCGTGTCCACAGCCTGCCCGGCTCCAGGGCCTGATCCTGCGCTCCCAGCTCATCGTCCTTCTGAAGCACAAGGTGGGCCTGAGGCCCCGGGAGCCTGGGACCACATGGTGGGTGGGGTCTCAGGTGGATGTGGGTGGGTGGCAGCCGGGGTCCCCACCCTAACCCCTGTGGCCCTGCTAGGTGTTTGTGGAGCGCTCCCACCTGGGCCTGCTGCAGCGCCGACTGAGGCTGAAGGATTTCCGGGACGCCTACCCCCGCTTCCCGCCCATCCAGTCCATTCACGTGTCCCAGGACGAGCGCGAGTGCTCCATGGACCTGTCCGAGTTCATGAACCCCTCCCCCTACACGGTGCCCCAGGTGCGGGCAGGGATGCGTCACCAGAGCGGGCAGGGGTGGGGCTGAAGGGTGCAGTGCTGACCGACGACATCCCCCTGCAGGAGGCGTCTCTGCCGAGGGTGTTCAAGCTGTTCCGGGCCCTGGGTCTGAGGCATCTGGTGGTGGTGGACAATCGCAACCAGGTGAGTGGGGTCCACCCAGCAGCCCCCATGTCCCCATCCCTGTGCCAAGGGTGCCCATGGGGGGTATGTCTGTGAGAAGATGGAGCTGGGGTCCCAATGGTGCTTGTGGCGTGAGACTCAGCAAGCCATGACCCGGCCTGTCTCTCAGGTGGTGGGGCTGGTCACCAGGAAGGACCTTGCAAGGTACCGGCTGGGCCGAGGTGGCCTTGAGGAGCTCTCGTTGGCCCAGACATGAAGCCCTCACAGGCTGGCCTCTCACTTCCTCTGGGACCCGTGGTCTCTGCGAAGCCCCCTCCTTCTCGCCAGCAGTGGGAGAGGGGGATCCGTCCAGACTGCGGAGCTGCGAGGATGACCGATTGTTCCCGCCGTGGTCCCCCCTGGCTCTGGGGCCTTTCCCTCCCCGCTGTAGCTGCTCTTTCTCTCCTGCTGGGCAGTGAGTGTGGAGTGGATGTGTGTGTGAGTGGCTGTGGATGTTCATGGGTGTATGAGAATGTGTGTTTGTGCGTGTGTCTGAGACACTGAGTTGAGGTCCTCCTGCTGCTTCTACCCCCATGACCCCTTGGACTCCGCTCTCTTGTGGCCCCATTAGCACATAGGTAGCTGGGAAACTATCTGATGTCTGTAACCCGAGGCCACCACTGTACGGCTGGATAGTCTTGTCTGACTGTGTGGTGGTGGCCTGTGGCCAGCACGGACACCCCTTGCCTGGGCAGAGGCCCCACCCCAGGGAAGCAGCTCCATGAGGACACAACCACCTAAGAGAGTCCACGGCTCAGCCGGGCCCGTGGTAACACCCTCTGCTGTCTGCTGCGATGGCCGAGGGGGACATCTCCAGACAGCTCCAGGGACATGTGGGCTCTGGTGGGCATGGGCTGCCGGCTGCCTGGGCCTCCTGAGAGAATCCTTGGGGGTCTATGGCTCTGCCTGTCACCAGGCAGATGTTTGAGAGAACATGGCTCTGAGAACTCAGTTTCCTGGTGCTCTGAGGCACTGGACGTGGGAGTCAAGGTCCGGCAAGGCTGATAAGCTCACGCAGTTACTCCCACAGCCTGATGTGCGGGGCTGCCGGGAGCCGCTGAGTAGTGCGGAGAAACACAACCCAACTCCCTGGAGGTCTGCACACAGGAATGGACAACTCACAAGGTCAGGGCTGGCAAGGCTGGTCCTGGGCCTGACTTTCCTGGGCTGCTAGGGGCTCAGTGCAAGGCCCCAGCTGGGCCTCCTCTCTGAGCAGCTTTGGGAAGGCCCAGACCCAGCCTTTTCTGGTGGTGGGCCCAAAGGAGCCACGCAGTCTCCAGGACCCAACCCGAGAACTGAACTCTCTATCTCCGTAGCAACTTTTGTATTGACGTGTTGAGATGATATTATTTTGGATATGTTGTTTAAACAAAATAAACTTAAGATTCGTCTCACTGTCTCTTTACTGTCTTCGTGGGACCGCCAGGCCTCCTTCCCAAACAGCACTGCTGCTGGTCTCTCTGCCCCACACTTGTGCCCCCCACCCCCTGTGCCCTTCAGAAACAGGCAGTTGGGGAGACCTCACAGCGGTCAGAGTTGGGCAGTTGGTGAGGAAGGGAAGATTCCAGAATGGCCTACCCCCTTGGAATTCTCTGGAAGGGGTGAGCTGTGAGGCAGGGGCTTATTTGGGTGACCTTCACTGCCACCCCATTGCCCCCAGCTTTCAAAATCGCTCCCCACACCCTGAAGCCCCTAACCTGCCCTCTCTGTGACCCCTCAGGCTGGCCAGGGCTGCTGTGAAGTCGAGTTAGGTGATCCAGGGAGGGGTCTAGGTGGCCTCACCTTACCTGTCTTTGCTGCCAGCACACGCTGCCCAAACACTGGACTTACTTGCAGCCAGGTCCAGTCACTGCCTTGTCAGAGGCCCGTCCACGGGGGCTTCCCACTGCTGCACTGGCAGACACCCCATCTTTGGGGGCATCGCCCCCCTCCCAGCTGAGCACTGGCTCCCTGGAGGAGGACCTGGGGCTCCTCCTGGGAGACAGCCTGGATGAGGTCCCAGAGAAGTTTGAGTCAGGCTGCCTGGAGCCAGCCACCCCCGTACCTGAGCAGAACACTCCTGGACGCTGGAGGCAGCTGGAGCAGTGGTGAGATGCAGCTCAGGGGTGGGGCAGTCCTTGGGCACCAGCAGGGAGGGTGATGGGGACAGGGGACCCAGCCCAACATGCCCTGTGCTGCCCAGCAGGCTGGCCGACCTGCAGGCCGAGATGGTCACTCTCCGGGGACAGCAGGACCGCTGCACACGTGTCACACTGAGACTGATGCAGGAGCTGCAGCAGGGTGTACGGCAGGTGGCCCGGGACCCTGAGCAGGAGGTGGGTGCCGGGACCCCGGCAGGAGGTGGGGTCCGGCCTCCTGAGCCATCCCCCGCACCCTCGCTGGCCAGCGCCAAGCCCCCACCTCCTCCTCACAGCACACCAACAGCCCAAGCCAGATCCAGATGCAGGCCCTGGACAGGAGGTACCCCACCATGGCCATGGACTTGGGGGAGGTGAAGGCTCCCTGTGGATGGATGGGAGCTCACTGTTGGGGATGAGTTTTGCTGTGTGTGGGGGTGGGGTGGGGTGCAGGGGCTTCTGTGGATGGTGGGTTTGCTTGGGGCAGGGACTTGCTTGGTCAGGGATCTTGTTGAGGGTTCAGGGCCGTGGGCAGGGCAGCGCCAGCAGGAGCGGCTGGTTGTGTACCAGGTTGGTGGAGGTCCGCGAGTCCCTGGCTCAGATCCGGAGGAAGCAGGCTCTCCAGGACTCAGAGCGCAAGAGCTCAGACCAGGAGCTGACCCTCAGGTGCTGGTCTCCTGTGCCCTCCCTGTCTTCTTGTGTCCCCAACACAGATGAGAAGGATGACTGGGACCCAGTCCCTGTCCCTCTTTTCCCCTATCAGTCTCCTCCAAGACCATGGAGCCTGTTGACTGGGGGTGGGGGTGTGCATGTGTGCCTCATTCTGGGAGTCTGTAGATCAGCCTGGTCCCCAGCTACATGCAGCGCTCCTTCACTGCTGGCCTGCGTGATCCCCTAACACTGCCCGCAGGCTGACCAAGCTTGTGGGAAAGCTAAAGCAAGAAGGCCAGGACCGGAAGCTGGCCTGTAATACCCTGCAGAAGAGCCAAGAGGAGGCCAGCCAACGCTTGGACCACGAGATAGCCAAGATGCAGGTATGGTGGTCGCCAGTACACTGGCCAGGACCCCATTTCCTCCTGACACCAACAGGGTCAGACAGGAGGAGACCAGATGCCTCACTGCCCGCTCACCCCAAAGCTCCTCCTTTTCTCTGACTTCTATTGGACCCCTTCCCTGAAACTCAAAACCCATCAATCAATATCAGACTTATCAATATCCGACCACTAAAATCTCAATCACGAAGAAAACAGTAAGTAAAATAACAAAATTAAGTGAAAACAACTAGCCAATAAAAAAATCAATCAACAATTTAACCAACCAATAAATGAAGCTATCTGTGAGACAATGGGAATCCTGGTGTGGCGCTGTGGGCTAACGGACCGGACTGCAAAGTCATGTGAACTGCAAGGTCGGTGGTTCAAGTTCACCAGCTGCTCCTCGGAAACTCTACAGGGTCGCTATGGATGGGAACTGACTTGACGGTACTTCACAACAAGAAATGAAACAATGAGCTAATCATTCCACAAGTAAGCCAGTCAATCTATTAAACAATAAGCCACTTCACTAAATAATAAATCACGGAACTACACACCAGTCAATACACCAATCACCTAATTAATAATCTATCAACTAATTCAACCAACTGACCAATCAATAGGCCAGTCAGGCAATCAATATTGAATTCAACATTATGAAATTTAATGTTTCTTAATTTTGTACTTGTGCTTGTCAAGTTGGTTCCGACTCTTAACAACTGTGTGTAGGGTTTCCAAGACTGTAAACCTTTATAGGAGTAACTGGTGGGCTTGAACCACTGTCTTTGTGGTTTGCTGTCCAGGGTTTATCCTACAGAACCACGGTGCTCCCGTAATTTTATATTTCTATATTTTATTAGGAGTCTTGGTGTGGCACTGTAGGGTAAGCACTGAACTGCTAACTACCAACCAGCCACTCTTTGGAAACCCTACACAGGTTCGTTATGTGTCAGAAACTACTCTGATACTTAACAACAATAAGGTAATAGAATAGTAGTTGTTGTTGTTAAGTGCTGTTGACTTGATACCGGCCCATAGCGACCCTGTATAGAGTTTCTGAGGAACAGCTGGTGAATATAATACTACATTAAAGCAAAAACCACCTGCTTTTTTTAGGGGCCAGTGGAGTAAATATGACAGGCTGTCCACTCACATAAAGGTGAACAGACACGGAAACCTCATTCAGGGTCACTGTGAGTCAGCATCCCACTTGTCTGTCAGTTTGTGGTGACGTGTGTTGCTGTGATGCTGGAAACTATGCCATCGATATTTAAAGATGAGCAGAGTCATCCTTGGTGGCCAGGTATCAGCGGAGCTTCCAGACTGGAGAGGCAGACCACTTCTAAATGGTCACTGAAAACGTTATGAACAGCAGCGGAACACTTTCAGGTATAGTGCCAGAAGATGAGCCCCTCAGGTTGGAAGGCACTCAGAATAGGACTGGGGCCGAGCTGCCTCCTCAGAGTAGAGGTGACCTTGGTGGCATGGATGCAGCAAAAGATTGGAGGCCTTCACTCGCTGATGGGTCACAACTGAAAATGAAAAGGAGGAGCCGCTCATACGCATCCATTTCTAATTGGAATGTGGAAACTATGACGTATGAATCTAGGAAATCTGAAGCCATCAGAAGTGGACTGGAATGCACAGAGATCACTCTCCTAGACATTAGGGAGCGGAAATGGGCGGGGACTGGCTATTTGAAATCGGACAATCATATGGCTACTACGCTGCGATGACAAATTGAAGAAGAATGGCGCAATACTCACAGGAAAAAAGAGCATTTCAAGATCTCTCCTGAAGTCCAGTGTTGTCCGTGGTAGGATAATATCCCTATGCCTACAAGGAAGATCCCTTAGTATCACTCCTATTCACATTTATCCAGCAACCACTAAAGCCAAGGATGACGAAAGATGAAGAATTCCACCAACTTCTTCAGGCTGAAATTCATCAAACATGCAAACAAAATGGCCAGATGATTACTAGCGACTGGAATGCTAAAGTTGTAAACAGGAAACATCAGTAGCTGGAAAATAGGGCCTTGGGGATAGCAATGATGTTGGAGATCCCATGATAGAATCTTGCAAGACCAGTTACTTATTCACTGCAAATACCATTTTCAACAACATAAATGGCGACTGTATATGTGGACCTCTCCAGATGGAATACACAGGAATGAAATTGACTATATCTGAGGGAATTGCTGATGGGGAATCTCAATATCATCAGCCGAAACATGGCTAGGAGCCAAAAGTGGAACAGACCATCAATTTTGTTCACATGCAAGTTCAGGATGCAGCTTAAAGAAAATTAAAACAAGTCCACAAAAGCCAAAATCTGACCTTGTTAGATCCCACCTGACTTTAGAGACCATCTCAAGAGCAGATTTGATGGATTAGACACTCATGACAAAAGACCGGAAAAGTTGTGCGATGACATCAAAAACATTATATGAAGAAAGAGAAAAGGTAATTAAAGAGACAGAGAAGAATGGAAAGACCAAAATGGATGTCAGAAGAGACGTCAAAACTTGCTCTTAAACAAAGAGAAGTAAAAGTGGCTAGAAGAAGTGAAGCAAAAGAGCCGAGCAGAACATTTCAAAGGGCAGCTTGAGAAGACAGAGTCAAGTAGTATAATGAAACGTAAAGACCTCAAGTTAGAAAATCAAAGGGAAGAACGCACTGAGCATTTGTCAAGCTGAAAGAATGGAAGAGAAAGTTCAAACTTCAGTTTGTAATATAGAAAGATTCTATAGATAAAATATTGAATGATGTAAAAAGCATCAGAAGAAAATAGAATACAGTCACTGTACCAAAAAGAAACGCTCGATGTTCAACCATTTCAAGAGGTCACATATGATCAAGAACTGATGATACTGAAGAAAGAATTTCAAGCTGCGCTGAAGCCATTGGTGAAAAACTCAGCTCCAGAGATGGATGGAATACAAATTGAAATGTTTCAACAAAGTGATGCCGTGTTGGAAATGCTCACTGGTCTATACCAAGAAACGTGGTAGACAGCTCCCTGACCAACTGACTGTGAGAGATTCATATTTGTGCCCGTTCCAAAGAACGTTACCCAACAGAATGCGGAAATCATCAAGCGATCTCATGAATATCACATGCAAGTAAAATTTTGCTAAAGATAATTCAAAACCAGTTGTAGCGTCCATTGACAAGGAGCTCAGGAGAGCATGTGGAACGAGGGAGATCATTGCTGGCAGCAAGTCCATCTTGGCTCAAAGCAGAGAATTCCACAAAAATATTGACTTGTATTTTATTGACTGCAAAGGAACTGATCTGTGTGGATCATAAATTGTGGATGACATTGAGAAGAATGGAGATCTCAGACCTCTTCATTGTACATACATAGATCAAGAGGCAGTGGTTTGAACAGGACAAGGGAATATGGACTGGTTTAAAATCAGGCAAGGTGAGCACCGGCCATGTATTCTTTCACCATAGTTTGTAAACTGTATGATGAGCAAATAAGCCAAGAAGCTGAATTATACGACGAGTGGCTGGTGAACAACCTGTGATATGCAGATGACACAACAGCCTTGCTTACTGGGAGCTGAGAGGTCTGAAATACTTGCGAACATCAGAGACTCCGGCATTCAGTATGGATTGCACTGGATACAAATGGTTTGGACTCCATGTCTGAATCACTCTGGCGCCACAAGAATGAAGGAGAATCCAGGTGGATTCCTATGAAGCAGAGGTCAGACATGCCTCCCCACTTCCGCCTTCTTTGTCCTATTCTGACACCAGCCATCCCTCTTACAACACTGGGGTCAGTAGTCCACTGTGGTGGTCACACAGAACTCCTAGATAGCACTGACAATTACGGGACTTATTCAGGAAGAGGAGCCGAAACAACTCAGGATGTAGCACTCTTCCAGTCAGGAAGCCTCTTCTCTGCCATACTACACACATGCCTAGTCTTCAACCTCTCAGCCACGTGGCCCTTTGGTCTCTGCCCTGTTCAGGCAATGGTTACAAAGTTCCTTTAGTTTGCTTGTAAATGCCCAAAGGGCACATTCTGAGAGTCAGCCTCCTGCCTGTGGACACTCAGCCTTCCTTGGTCCAGGGGCTGGGGAGGCTGATGCTCTGTCTTTCCAGGTCAGGGGCTCAGGCTCTGCTCACGGTTCTTTCCTGATGGTCCTGGGATCCTCTGTGCCTGCTGCTGAGATGGCTCCTTTTAAACCCAGCGGAATGGCAAAACTAACCAATTCCAGTGTTAGAGTCAGGTACACCCTATTTGCATGGATCCATCCAATCATTTGGAGTCCTGGTATGGCGCTGTGTGTTAATGCGCCAGACTGCAAAGTCATTTGAACTGCAAGGTCAGCAGTTCTTGTAAACCCTATGCAGGATCGCTATGGGTCGGAACCGACTTAACAGCTCTTAACAACAACAACCCAATCATTTAAGGAGCTCTGGTAGCATAGCGTAGTGGTTATGAGTTGGGCTGCTAATCTCTTGGTCAGCAGTTCAAAACTAACAGCACTTCCAAGAGAGAAAGATGAAGCTTTTTGTTCCTGTAAAGATTTACAGCCTACAGCCTCAGACACCCTATACAGGGTCGCTATGAGTCAGAAGTGACTCCACGGCACATAGCTGCCACCACCCAATCATTTGTGGGAGTAAGACGTCCTGGGGTGGCGCTGTGGGCTAATGCGTCAGACTGCAAAGCCGTTTGAACTGCAAGGTCGGTGGTTCAAGCTCACCAGCTGCTCCTTGGAAACCCTAGACAGGGTCGCTCTGGGTCGGAACCGACTCGACAACACTTAGCAACAAGAAGACTTTGGATAGAAAAGCTATCTCAGGTACCACACACCTCAATGTAAAACGAAAAGCCTCACAACTGGAGAAATTAACATGATAAATGAAGAAAAGATTGAAATTGTCAAACAGGTCATCTTGCTTTGACTTATAATCAGTGCTCCTGGAAGCATTAGTCAAGAGATCAAATGGTGTATTGCATCAGGCTTATCTGTTGTA